CCTAGGTATGTTGACATAACAAATAGAAGCCCACCAAACTCTAACCAAAAACAAACAAGCTTCTATAACCGCATCTCGACTCCCCAAAATCCACCTGCATGGCATAGGAATAAGCCAAATCACTAGCATTGCAAACTCCTTACCACCTAATTACAACCCTTCAAATTACTTTGGCTTTTACACCTCCCCAACTGAAACTCCATTTAGGTACAATTACCACCTAGTTAACGCACCTCCCCATATGTACCCTCAGTCCATACACACTAGCCCATGCACTCACACTACGCCATACGCATCACCATATCCTCCGAGAATCACACACCTACCTCCATTTAGTCCATCACTCACTCAAAGTACCCCCAGAAATCCTTTTTTTCACCAGAGCCCACCTCTTCCATATCCAACATCCTAAAGATAGCTCTTATAAATTCCAGATCGATTGTCAACAAAATATCCCAACTTAGAACTTTAGTTGAAATATATAACCCCGATGTAATTTGCATTACCGAAACATGGGCAAATGAGCTTATATCGAATGCCTCACTATATGTCCCAAATTATAATTTCTATCGACAGGACCGTGTTAATAAACGAGGCGGAGGTTGTCTTATCTACATCAAAACTACCATTGAGCAAAGTGGTATTGATGTCCCAACCGAAACCTTTTCTGGAGAAGCGTGTTTTGCAACAATAAAATCTAATGCCCAGGAAAACATATTAGTCGGATGCCTCTACTCCCCTCCAGAATGTAGTAGTGATGACACAAGCCTCAACCTCTTAATAAACAATATAGCTAACATAAAAACTGAATATAAGATAATTACAGGCGACCTAAACCGCCCAGAAATAGACTGGGTCGAATTATCAGCACCTACCAGGCACGAAGAATTCTTGTCTTCAATTATCTTTAATAACTGGACACAGATAGTTGACAAACCCACCCGAGGAAACAATATACTAGACGTTATTTTCACCAACGATATCTGGCCCCTCTATATGCACTACGACTGCGCAACCTTTGAAAGTGACCACAAAGCAATAATATCAACACTCCCCTTAAACGCAAAACTAGCACCCCATTTTGGTAACACCCGCCTAAACCCACAAAAACTTGACGAGGACTCCATGAACAACTATATTAGATCATTGGACTGGAGCCCATATCTTCTTACAACATCCCCTATGGAAGCAGTTAACCTATTATACTCTGTCCTATTTGTAATTCGAGATACCTTGATAGACGAAAGACTCCCGTATAAGAAATCACCAATCCCGAACTTCCTTTCAACTAAACTAAAAAAGCTACAAAAACAGCTACGCGACCCCTCTGTGAGTTATTTTTCCACACTTCGACGAATTAGGGAAATTCACGACCTAGTCACGAAAATGGAAACACAAAAGACCATAGCAGCAGAACATCGGGCACTAGAATCCCCCGAACGAACAGCTCAGATGTTTCAGAAACTAATGAGTAACCATCGACAGTCAGGACCACGAACTATTATTAATGAATTAGGGCAAGTTATAACCAATGATAAACAAATAGTAAACTTATTCAACAGATACTTCTCAGCTTCTACACAGTCGAAGAGGGAACCATCCCCCAACCGACCGAGATGACTGAACGCATCCTTAGTGAGATCCATTTTAGTGAAGAAACTGTTAAAGTAGCCATCAAACAACTATCAAACACCAAATCCTATGGGACAGACAAAATCCCACCATGTATTCTGAAGCATATGACATATGCTCCAATACTCCTATCTAAGTTATTCACACTACTCCAGTCAAATGCAATTTTTCCGGACATGTGGAAATACTCGACCATTGCGCCCATATTTAAAAGCGGCAACCGATCTCATACCAAAAACTATCGTGGTGTTCACCGAACACCGGCTATAGCTAAAATCCTCGAGAAAATAGTATATAACCAATTGCTAGACCATCTCATGAACGCCAACCTCATTCCCTCCTCTCAACATGCATTTTTGCCCAAAAAGTCATGTCAGTCCTGCCACCTTACTTTTTTGGAATTCGTTTCCAGCAATAGAGATGATGGAAACACAGTAGCTTCAATATACTTCGATCTAAGAAAGGCCTTTGACAAAGTCCCCCATAAAAGACTACTGATAAAGCTAAAAAGTCATGGAATTAGGCCACCCCTTCTTGATTTTCTTAAATCTTATCTTCAAAACCGATACCAGGTGGTGCAAATTCGAAACGTCGTTTCAGAACCATCCCCTATTACCAGTGGAGTACTTCAAGGCACTATCCTAGGCCCCCTTCTATTTCTTATATATATTCACGACTTATCGTCCATATCTGTCTCAGCTAAGACGTTTTTATATGCGGACGACCTTAAAATTGCATATGCATATAACGGGAATACAGTAGCCAATATTCATAGAACNTAAAGGCACTGTTAACGGTCTCATTCCCGAACACTCAGATTCTTGACTTCGAGAAGGGTCCTCCTGGGATTTAGTGGTAGATTAAGTGGTAACTCTTAATTATATCATTAGAAACCCCTGTTTTGAATTGGTTTCTAAATCCATCGCTATCCTTTCCCCCCCCCCCATAGCGACAATTTTCGCGGTTTTTGATGTCATCTCCCGCATTCCGGCCTCATGCGATCTGTCGACACTCACGGCGGAACCCTCAGTCTTCACTGTTTACTAGTAGTTCGGTCGTACCTCCCTTCCTCACTGCTCGGCTGAGCTCGAAGCGTGCTGTGGCCGATCGCATCTCGGTTCCTCTCGTCTGGCCTCTTTGACGCGGCGTACCAATCAGGCCCAGACGATCTCCATTGTGAATCCCGTATACAATGCCATTTGCAAGCCAGTCCTGTCTGACCCACATTCGTACCCATCAAGGCGGACATTTATTGATACCCTGACGATGACCGACAACATTCCGTTATATACCGCCACCTACAGGCCAGTCCTGCTCGCTTTTTTCTGTTATTATTTTTAAAGAGGGGTTTTTTTCTCCTGTAAAATTAATCCAATCATTTTTAACTTTTTCTTAGGAGTTTTTTTCAATCCTCAATCATCATGTTTCTCAATGGACTTCTAATTTAGAAACTAGGAATTGCATTTTGTAAAGATTGGGTCTACCTCGTCTAAAACTCGCATGCAAATTTATTTTAACTTGCTTTGATGGGACCCCGACGGGTCTTTAATAAAAATTATCTATCTATCTAACTAGAAAGTGAAGATCCCACTTAAACCTTTTGTTGGCTATTAGTCAGGTATGAGTCAATAAAGTTTATAAGGGGACTGTGAAGTTCCAAAGCTTCTAGTTTAACCAAGAGTCTTTTATATGGCACTTTATCAAAAGCTTTACTAAGATCAAGATAAATGACGATAACAGACAAATGATCATTACGAATAGAAATAGATTGAAAAACGACATATGACATGTTTCATGAGAATGACTCAGTAAAAAACCATGCTGGGAAAACTAATAACTTTATTTGCTATACAGAACTCGGTACTTTTCATGGCGATAATTTTTTCAGAGATTTTGGCGAGAGAAGGTGTTTCATCGACACCCAACCAAACCATGCGAGTGCGCACTCACGTACCCTCTTTTCCGATGCCTCGTTATGCGGTCAATATATTTCGCTCCACAGGAGCAGACGAATGAATAGATATGTGTCAATATGGCTTACAATATTAGTCGGTCTTTACCCCTCAACCGTAGGACGCGATACTTGGTTAAGAATACGCGCAAGTTCGTCGTGGGGAAAGCACTCTTGGTAGCCGTCCATAGACGTCGTCCCACCCAATTCCCTCCCTGCGTCTCCTAGAATAGTCAGCCTTAGAAATAAGTTTTTCTGCAGTTTCAATGGCAGACTTTGTTGCTTGCTTCGTCATATTTCGGAGGATAAATCTCTCCGGATAAACGCCTTCGCGGGGCGTGTTCTGAAACTGCTGGAGCTCTGCCTTAACACTATCAGGAGAACAGATGCGTCACACTCTAGCCACCAGTCCCTGGACCAAACTGCTTTTTAGATTTAGGAGAAAAAGTCTATGAAAATTAACGTATTGTCTTGTGCAGTTTTTCTTTCGAGATATCATGCTTTATGGAGATTAATTCTCCTGTCTATGAGGGAGGACGTAGAGGAACCCGATTTCTTTATTCGCTTCAGTCTCTGTAGCAACCTCAGCGAGCGGTGCGCCCTGCCAAACTTCTAAATTAGGTCATCGTTGTCGATGGCGTAACTTGTCGAGCAGAAAATATCTTCCAGGTACCGGTCGGTTTCAAGTTCAGTCTTCGCACATCTAGTCGATACAATCCAAAAATTCGACGTCATTGAAGTCTTTTATGATATCATTTAATTGCCTGAACACTAGTCTAAGGGCCTACGCAAACGGGTGTTAGCAATAGCCGAGGCCGTGACTATCCGGTTAACGAATTCAGCGCTCTGTTTTAGGAAGACGTTGGTACAGGCAGCCTGTCTCCTCTGACCGACCGAAGGTGGTGATCGCAAGCCGCATAAACCTTCTGAGAACAGTCACACACACACACACCATGCGTGGTTGACGTCAGATAGCGCTCACATTCTAACCCGAACTCCTCCCTTTCCCCCTTCCCCAGCCACAGTTTCAACGTCCTCAACCCACTGAATCCGCCATACAGGCAGTGTGGAAACAACGATTTTGACTAACCCTTTCCGGGACACACATAAATCATCTCCATGGCTCACAAGTTCAGCATCCATGTCATTGTAGAGGCATGATGATAAATTACCGGAAACGCATATTCACCGAGTGGTTTTCCTATCGTTACAAGACTATTTCTGCAGAGCTATCACAGGTTTGCTGATCTCCTTTGTGTTTGCAGAGGTGGACGACTGCCGAGTAATTAAAGTCCTGAGGACCTGTTTGTGGTGTCACATCTCCTGAGAGAGCACCATGAAACGGTCCATTAGTCAATGGCCTCCGTACTCTAAGATTTTATTTGGCATCGCACCGGACAGTTGGTGAACGGCACAGATGGGTCCTGGAGAGGGAGGGCAGAAGATCCAGATCGACGTTGATTTTCCCTTGGGAGAGCCGGTCGGTGTCGGCGACTGATGGGCCATTGGGAACATTGTTAAAGTACTGATACAAACGAAGACGCAATTTCCAGGAACTAATTGATCAGAAGAAGAAGAAGAAGAAGACGACGACGAAGAAGAAGAAGAAGAAGACGAAGAAGACGAAGAAGAAGAAGAAGAAGAAGAAGAAGAAGAAGAAGAAGAAGAAGAAGAAGAAGAAGAAGAAGCGATCGCTGGAACAATGGCTTTATTCGCCTGACGTTTCTGATTCTCAATTGACCCCCTTTTCTGTCAATGTCTCTGATGATGGGTTCAAGTGAGAATCCGAAAAGTCAGGCGAGTAAAACCCCTTGTTCCAGCGATCGCTTCTTCTGCTTCTGATTTTTAAAGTGCTCGGCTCAGCGCTTCGGAATCTGCGATTTCTCGGTTAGAAGAAATGCTCTTTCTGTGTTGAGATATAGGGCGGTTACTTTGTTTGTGCGGCTGCAGATGCCCTTGATAGCTGAGACGTTATTCGACTCATTGAAGTCAGCATTCCCTTAGATCTCTTTTGTCTAGCAAGCTGCGCGGGCGTTCTGCACTACTCGCAACCGCTGCTAAACGAGACGGCGGCATCGGTAGAAGACCACTTTGTTTGCATCGGTCGGTCGTCCTATGTAGGCTCTGTGCAGTTTGCCTTTTCAACAAGCAGGCTGCTGATGACCGCGTCGTTTTCGTCCAAACAGTTCTGGGGCTGACGACGTGCGCGGCCGAACACACTCGGGACGGTCAAATGGACGGCATCCCGCAGTTTGCCCTCATTGCGTCTCCACGGAGGCGTTTTCTTCGAGAGATCACAGACCTTCCATTTGCAGGGTCAGTAGACTCATGAAATGGAGACGGTGAACAGGCAAATCCAGCAAAACTGTATTTAAATTAGCTTGTGGTCGCTTACCTTGTGAATTCCTGTGAACTTGCATTGCGATCTTCATCTTGGAGACGACGAGAAGATGATCAGTTTAGCCATCAGCTTTTCATATCGCCTTGGCCATCAGCACATCAAAGCCAGGCCGCTGGTTTAAAATTTAAAGATAAGTGGAAGATATTATTTCAAATGGATTTTCTAAGAGACCTTAAGATTTTAGCCCCTTGTTTGCTTGAATTGTCTTAAATATAGGCTTACTCACTCATAACTACCAGTTGCCATTTCCTTTTCTAGTTCTACTAGTCTGTGCCTGTTGACCGCAAGTCGCACTCTGCATTTCGCATTTTGTGCATTCGACTTCTCTCTAAATATGTAATTGTTTTACATCATTAACCTCTGGCTGAGATTCGGTCACTTGGTCTGTCAGAAGTTTTCTTTATTGCAACTTACTTCGAGACTAGATGAGAGTAAAAGTCACAGGTTGGCGAAAGTTCTCAGCCTCTGTACGTAAGCATGGCTTAAATAAATCTAAGTCAGAAGGCATTACTTACCAGTCGTCACCCGTTGTAACTGATAGGAAGCTTAGTCTGCCTGCACTTGACAACTGTAATGATTTTATAGTAAAGTTTGGCGCTATGCTCTCAATTTATGGAAAATCGTCCGATGGGAACATCTCCGGTATTCCCTCTCAAGAATGCAGACGTTTTGACTCACTTGTTCACGTGACCGCTGCTGAATATAGTTGTAGACAAAAACGAGCTTACAACTTCGTGTTAAAAAATGTTTCTCGATCTACTCGGCCATTTGACGTTGCGGCTAATTTCCTCTATTCGTGTGGTTTTAAATACAAGGTAGCCGATGCAAAACGCCTGTCTTTGTTAAGTCGTTTTCATAAATCGAGGTTTGCTCCACTTTGCCCATCGAGATCGTGTCTCTGCGTATCTCCAAAGTGCAAAATTTTTCCTTTGTCACTACCTTACATTTTCTCAGTCAAATGCTCACCATCTCGGTCACAATACAAGTGACCATGAGGATTCAGCTGATCCTACTCCTGCGATACCTGACTCCCTCTTTCCTCTTACTCCTACATCTCCCTCTCACCTAAGCCACTTGACACATCCGCCTGCCCCCAAGTTAGCAG